CCAAAAAAAAAAAAAAAAGATGGAAAGAAAGGGAGAATGGCTTCCATGACTCATTCACCCCCACCGAAAAGCTGCGGAAAATGCATCCCGGCGTGCGGGCAGCCCCAGCGCTGGGCGGTGCGGGGCCGGGAGCGATCTGCGGGGGGCCGCAGGTGCGGGGGCAGCGCGTCCTCAACGCCGCCTTTCCGCGCTCCATCCCCGCTCTCCGCTGCCGCCCGACTCCGCTCCATCCCCACCCCGCAGCCTCTCCCGCCGCATCCCCGCTTCCCCGGCTCCGCTCACCCCCCGCTCGGTGCGGCGCGGCCCGGATCTGCGCGGGCAGAGCGTGACGCTCCCGCTCCGCTCCCGGTGCGGCCGTTCCCGGCGCCGCCGTGCGCTCCCGGTACGGCCTCGCCGCGCTCTCCCCGCTCCGCCGCTCGGCGCCTCCCCCGGCCCGGCCCGGCCCTGCCCACCGGGGCGGCAACGGAGCGGCGGGGGGGTCCCGGTGCCCGCCCCTGCGCCAGCCCCGCCGGGCACCTCTACATCGGGCCGCCCCACACCAGGCATTCTTCAGGGCCGCCCCAGCACGGCGGCTGCCCCAGGGTGCCCCCACCCCCCAGTGTACCCCAAATCCCAGTGCCCCCCTCCCCTACACGCACCCCCCGTTCCCAGGATCTCCGCAGGGCACCCAACAGCCCCCCCGCCCCCATCCCGCCCCGCCTTCCCCCCACCCCTACCTCCCCCCACCGGCTAATTACAGCGCTCATCGATCAACCGCAGCGGTGCCGGGAGCACAGCGGGACCACGAGCGGGGTCCAGGGGACGGGAGCTCTATGCCACGGCCCCGGGCCGGCACAGCTGCCCCCAGGGTGCTGCAGGCAGCCGGGCCGCTTCGCCCCCGTGCCCCGGGGTCTGGGCGCAGCCATCCGCTCGCGACGTTTGTCCCCAGTGGGTTCTCATATCACATCTGAATCCATCCCACGGTTATCTCCCGAGCACCTCGGGTGAGGAGCAGGCGACGCCGAGCACCCCGCAAGGAAGGGATGCTCCGGAAGCAGCCGTGAGAGCCGCGTGTTTCCCTGCAGCTCAGAGGCGGCGCAGGGGAACGCTCGGCTGAAACCCACGGGGGGCGGATGCCCAAAGTGCGGCCCCAGCGCAGCGGGGGACACTGAGCCCAACGGCAGCAGCAGGAGGGGAGGAAATCACGCGCAGGGCTGAGCGACGTGGATCCCTGCGGGATGCGTCCCTTTGTCACCTCTGCTCCGTGCCACCCGCCGGGGTTCTGCCCCATCCCGTGTGGAGGCCTCAGAGCAATTGGGCACATTTGCACCATATTAAATCCCAAATAAATTAAGAAAAGTGGCCAGGAAACACTGCCTGTTCCAACCTGCACACATTTCACACCCAAAATGCATTTCCGAGGTTCCCTCGCAGCGCGCTGTTGCTGATCTGGATTATTTGTTCTGTGAATCTGGGTTAAGGCCACGCGTTGTTTTGCTGCATGGGATTGGGGAGTCGTTACTCCAGGCTGGGGGGGGCGGGGGCTGCAGCACTGACTGCACGCATCCTCCTGAGCCACCCCACCCCATTCCTGCAATGTGGAACAGGTTCGTAGATGGACGCACCATTGCTGCGGGTGATGCCGTTGGGCCTCAGCCACACGGTGCAGATGAGCTCTCAGCAGCTCTGCCCGGGGTCAGCCCCCCTCTCCCTCATCAGAGCCTCTGCCAAAGCCCGCAGCTCCAACTGCCTTTTCCCTGACTTTGTATCAATTATTCATCTCCCAAGAGCCGTTTGTTTCTCTCTCCCGCACAGAGCTGGAGGTGCACAGCACTCAGGGGGATACGGGGTCTCTCCTTCCTCCCCAGACCTCACAGACATCAGGCTGTAGGAAAGAAGGAGGGAGGACCTCAGCAGAGCAGAACTCCATGAGTGCAGCGTGGGAGCAGCACACAGTGCAGCTGGGAAGGCAAGAGAGGCTCCTGGAGTTGTGACTTCAACCCCATCCCAGCCCCTCTGCTTCCATCCCCGCTCCTCTCCGGAGATGCATTTGTCTCTCCACGAAATCAATGTTTGTCATCAGCTCCTTGATAACCTTCCTTATCAGCCCAAGTTTCCCATTCAGCTTTTAACTACAATGAGTATCTCAGCTGCTTCCCATCCCCACTGCTGCACCGCTGGCCCTCGGCCGCATTCACATCTATTGCAGAACAATTAGATTTTGGATCGGTCTAAAGAGCCGCTTGGGAGGCAGAAGTGTTTGGATATATTTCAGCATTTCCTCTGACATCTGGACAGCTCAATTACATGAGTCACTCTCGACAGCAGCAACTCGCCAGGGTTCTGCTCTGCACTTTTCTCTCTCGCTGGAAATGCAGCTCTCCCAGTTCAGGGCCACCCCTGCACTTCACAAAGCAGTGACAACCAGGCGCAAAACTATTCCCGTTTCTGCCCATTTCCTCACACCTTTCATCTTTCTGATGTTTTCCCTTTTTTGCACCCAAAGCTTCCCCTCACCTTTTATACCTGGAACTCTTTCATCCAGTGGAACAGCAATATTAGGTAAGATTTCCTCTATTGGAATTAATCACCACCAAACAGTTTTCATATCTGAAAGAGCCAAAGATCTCTGAGGGCTTTGGGGCTGTTACAGAAAGTGATGCAGACGCCCCATTTCTGGCAGCTTGTGGGCACCACCAGACTGATTCAGAGCTCATGCAGACAATGCCAGGAGTCCCCTCTCCAGAATCACAGCTGGGTTCATCCTGGGCTCAGCAATACGGCCATGGGCAGGAAATAGGAGGAAAATACTGAAATTGATGATAAATACACTTTTTGGCATAACCTAGAAGAGAAAAAAACTCAGGCACAGCAGTGTGCACCAAACAGGAGCAGCCTTCCAACACAGAGGGCTCAGCCTTGAGCTCCCAGCAGCCCCGTCCCCCACACATCCACTCACCTGGGCTTCAACAAGGGGCCCAGCTGGGGCTGGGGGAAGGGAGCAGCCTCTGTGGGCTGGCACGGATCGTACAAGGGGCAAACTCCCCTGGGATGGCACCGTGGGCACCGGTGCCCCTCAGCAGAGCCCAGCCCTGCCTGCTGCAGCTGGAACCACGCTGCTGTCATCTGTCAACTCAGCGTGGGGATTTGTGAGGATCGGGAACCTCACATGCTCTACCTGGATCAAAGATTAAGCATTAAACCCACAATCACTGGTATTAAAACCTTGGATTAAAGCACAGACATTTTCCCTCTCAACTTCCAGGTACTCCACTGCTTTAATGCTGTTACAAAACTGTGCTGAATTTGGAGGGACTGGGGAGAAATCTTCCTTTTAAAAGGAAAAGCACATTGGTGCGGGCAGTCCCAGCTGCCAAAGCCCCAGGGCTGCACGCTCAATAGATCGAGCTGACACACAGCATTACAGAGCAAAGCCTCTGCGTGGAGAGAAACACAGATCGAAGGGGTGGGAGACAAACTGAGTCTGGATGCTGCTGCCCAAATCCTTGTCAGAGAGCTGTTTTAACCAGACTTTCACCTCTCAGGCCAATACCACCAACTGGAAAGCGGCCCAGGCAGCCCAACAAACACCAACCACGTATCCCATCTGTAAAACCACACAGGGCATGGGCATTTTTTAAAGAAGTTTTCCGGGACACATTCGGATGAGATTTTACTCCTTTAGGCTGCTCTTCCATTTCAGGATTGGCTGCCCTGCCTGCAGGTGTGAGCATGAAGGAACCCACCACAGCCCCACAAGACAGGGGCACAGCACTGGCAGCTCCCGGTCATCCCCAGCATCAGGGCAGCTTTTCAGGGGGGTTCAGAAGTTATCTTGGTTCAGAAAAGAAGACAAGACAGAGCAGAACGCTGCTCCAAAGGAGATATTTACTAGCCAAAGCAATGATGCCCCACACTAGCACCGCTCTCCTCTGCTCCGAGCTGTTGGCAGAGCCCCCCCAGCACTGGGATGGCTGCAGCAGAACCTCATCGTGCCCGGTGCTCTCCTTCACATGGTTCACTTCCACGGCTGCAGACAAGCACTGTCGGGTCCCCTGCAGGTCCCTGTGCCTCAGGGCCGGCTGTCCTTCTCACCCTTGTGGTGCTCGGGCGGTGTGTACTTCCCCTCCTTGATCATCTTGTCCCTCTGCTCCAGGATCTTTTTCAGCCGCTGAGCCTGGCGAAGCACACAAGGGATGACAGAGACGCAGAGCCACAGAACCAGAGAACCGCAGAGCGGCCGGGTCGGAAGGGACCTCAGAGACGCCGCGGGCTGCCCGCCCCCCCAGGGCCCGCCGCAGCCTCGGGCACCTCCGGGACGGCGCTCAGAATCACAGCGGCGCCGTCAGGCCGCGCCCGGAGGATCGCGGCGCCGCCCGGGGGCTCCGCACGCGCTTCCCGAGAGGCCGCGCCGCGCCGCGCTCCCCCCGCCCGGTTCCGGGGCCGCCCCGCCGGGCTCACCAGCTTGGTGCGGTGCATGCACTCCATGAAGTCCTCGTACTCGGGCTGGCACTCGCGGCGGGCTCGGGTCTGGCCCAGGCCGTGCCCGCACTCCACCCACTCCCGCTCGAAGGCGTGGCAGGCCCCGGCCACCCCGTAGGGCTGCGTCGCGCTCTGCCGCAGCAGCCACCGGTCCATGTCGATGCCCAGCTGTCGCTGCAGGTCCCAGAACGGCATGGTGCTGTCGCGACGCCGACCCCGCTCCCGAAACTGACCCTACCGCGACACCGCCGTGGGCTCGAAACCGGCTCCGCTCCGCCCCGTCCCTCGCCGACCGAGCCCGCCGCCGTCCTTCACGGGGCTTTCGCGACGCTGCCGGCCGTCAAGCGCGGCCGCAACCGCGACAGCCGCGCCGCGCTTGACGACGGAACCAGAGAGACGGGCGGCGCGAGCGGCCTCCCTCGCTGCGGCGCCCCCTGTCGACAAGGAGGGGAAACAGTCCGCCGCGCCCCAGCGCCCCCTGCAGGCCTCTGCGGCACCCTCCGGGCGGCCGCGCCCCGAGTCCCATTGTCCCGCAGTGTCTGCGGTGCTCCCCGTGTCTGCGGTGCTTCCGGTGTGTCGCAGGGTCCCCCACTGCTCCCAGCACTTCCCCCAGTGTCTTCCAGTGCTCCCTGTGTCCCCAGCCTCTGGCTTTCAGGCTCTCACAGTGTTCCAGGCTGTTACGGCCTCCCGCCGCAGCACTGGGACAATGTGGCACCACGCGCAGAAGAGCTCATTAGGGCAGGAGGGTCATTAAGGCTCCCAGTGAGCCTCAGCCACCCCCTAGCAGCACCCACATCCCAGAACCCACCTGCTGTCCTCACATCCCCCCATGCCCCGGGGCACCTCCAAGGCTGGGACAACAGCTTTGGCATCCCTAATGAGCATGGCCTCATTATGCAGCCAACTGCTCATCTGAGCCAGATCTTCCGCCACCTCAGGCACAGGGAAGGGAGGGAGCGCCAGGGGGGTCCTCATGGCAAAACCCGAGCCAGGCTCAACACCCATTTATTACCATAACTCCTATGAAAGCACCCAAACCCGCTGAGCACACGCAGCACCGTACAAGCAGGAGGAGCAGGACTGTGCCGTGCTGAGCTCTGCCTGCAGCCCCGTGGGTGCAGAGTGCTGGCGTGGGCCTTCCCTGCTCAGATGATGCTGGCTGGGGTGAAGACCGGGGGGACGCAGAGGGACTCCACCATCTCCCAGCCGCATGACAGTGGCGTGCAGGCGCTCTCATGGTCATCTTCTGCTGGCGGTGGCTTCGCCTGGAGGAGCTGAAGGGCCTTCCTGCAGGCAGAGACACCCAGAGGGAGCAGGGGGCACCCACTCATGAAATGTCACAGGAGGGTTACCCCAGATCTGCCCCCCTCCCTCAGGCAGGGAGCCCAGATCAAGGGCAGTTCAATGTCTCCCACTGGCAGTCCTGCCCTCAGCCTGCCCACACAGGGCTCTCTCTTACCAGGCCAGGCGGGACATGGCATAGGTGATGTGTGGCCGGGGACACCCACCGCACAGGGATGAAGATGTGATGGTGTAGGCACCCATGTCCTGGAAAATCAGCCAGTCCCCATCCTGCAGCTCAGGCAGCTCCACATCATTGGTAATCTGGTCCTCTGCATGCCCCAGAGGACCCCTGAGGCTGCTGCTGCACAAGGGGTGCTCTGGGCAGGGCTTCTGCAGGGGGCAGATCATATAGCCACATGAGAGGAGGGCATCTGCACCACAACACCAAGCAGTTTCATACAAGATGAGAATCTGGACCCAAAACAGAAGGACTGGCTATCAGTCCCAAAAATGCTTCTCAGCGACTGCACAGATCAAAGCAGATCTCACAGCATCGGAGGAGCACTCAGCACCAGAGGACAACAGGACATACCACACTACCCTGCAGGGCTCTCCCCAGCCAGGCTGGATCCTCACCTTGTGCAGCAGAGGCTTGGGGCAGGGACTGTCAAACAGGACACAGCTGAAGGTACTGTAGATGCCATCGCTGAGGTGATAGGCAAGGCTCCTCTTACTTCCAGACTCTTCCCCTGGGGAGCAGGGAGAGGCTCAGGGGCACATGGGCACAGAGGCAGACTCACCCCATGGTCCCACTTACCATCAGAGCCTGGCTGCTCCATGGGAACCTCTTCCTTGCCAGCAATGCTGGCTGCAAAGGTGAAGGCTGAGGTGACATAGTATCGCCCCGGTGTGGCAACAATCTCCACCCCACAGCCTTCCGGGAAATACATGTCCAGTGCAGAGTTTATCACAGCAGAAATCTGGGTGGGAAGATGTACCTGGAGTGAGCTCAGTCATGCTGCTCAGAACAGGGCAGGGAGCCAGATCCAGTCTCACTCTCTGCCTGCCCAGAGCCAGCTCTGGGAGCCACATACCTCCTCAAACTGGGCTCTGGTGTCCTCGGTGCCAGGAAATCCCCCTCCGATGTCCAAGAGGCGCATTTGATAGCCCAGCTCTGTGCCCATGTCAAATGCCAGCTGTGCCTCTGCGACAGCCTGGGCAAAAGCCTGGGGCTCCAGGCTGTGGCTCCCAAGGTGAAAGCTGAGGGCACAGTCTCTGTTCAGAAGGGCTGCCCATTGTATGGTGGCAGAAGGGGGACATGGCACTGAGAAATCCCCACCACAGCAGCTCTGCGCTTCCCACATACCTTCCTGGGAGAGACTGACTGGCCCACTCTACTGAGCCCCCCTCTGCAGGCCAAACCTGCCCCAGATTGGTGCCAACAAGGGACATCTGCCCTAGGTGCCAGCCCTCACCTCACTGCCAGACCACACTGCCCTGCAGTGCTCTGTGAACTCCTGAATTGTTCTAGCAGGGCAGAGCTCCCTGCAGGGCTGCCCAGCAGAGGCTCAGCACCCCAAGAGGACAAGGACAACATTCCTTACCTGATGCCAATAACCTCCACATCTTGTTCCTTTGCTGACTCTAGCAGGCGTCGGCAGGACTTGAGCGTGGCCCCAAACATCATGCTTGGATGGGCAGAAGGGCTGGGGTCAGCAGCAATACCCAAAAGCATCCTGCACAGCAAAAAACACCGTCGAGTCTTTGGGCCCTCCACCACCCACAGCCACCTCCCCGAATCCCACTGTTCCCCAGTCCAACGCTGCCTCCAGATTCTGCACCAACACCTACCTGGCTTGCGGGTGGCTCCGGGCCACCTTGCCCAGCTCCACCTCGTTGTCGAAGGTCATCAGCTGCACACCATGGCTGGCTGCATATTTGATGTGGGAAACCTGCTTGCAAGGGCTGCTGTAGAAAATCTTGTCAGCTGGGACCCCAATGCTTTGAACTTCTGCTATCTCTGTCTGCAGGAAAACAGCACGCATGAGGCAGGTCTCTGGGAACAGTGCTGCTGTGCGAGGCTGTGGCTGGCTCCGGCCCCAGCCAGCTTGTAGCACTGCAAAGGGCAAACCACAGCACTGCAGCCTGAGTTTTCTCAAGAAAACTTTCTCAGACTACAAGAGCTCACAGGGGTCACAGTGGGCTTTGTCCTGGCATGGGTAGGTTGAGGCAAGGTGTTTACATGCAGCACAAGACCAAGAGGAGAGAAAACAAGCAGAACAACTGAGGAGGCGCAGGTCTGGCACACATCTTCCCTGTGAACTGCACTGAGATCTGAACTGTAACAAATCCCTACACTTTCTCGTCCTGGCAATATGTCCTGTTTAATTATGTGCCAGTGAGTGGCTTAACTTTGGTTCTCCCTGGGAATCTGGCTATCAGCAAGTGGTGAGCAGGATGGACCAGGGAGCTCCGTGCTCAGACCTAAAACCACTGAGAGGGGACGGCTGCGGTGGTGGCACCCAGGGATGTGCCCTGATACCAGCCAAGCCGGCCAGACGGACAACGGTCAGACAGACAGAAAATGTCGGTCAAAGGGAGCAAGCCTGAATCACCAAATAGGACGGGGATTTCTGGGCTGTGTCGGCAGGGTTCTGACAGCAGGGGGAGACTCGCTGCTGGAGATGTTGGCCAGAGAGTGGAAACGCGTAAAACGAGCCACTCTCCCACGAATGCCCAAAGAATGCTCATCCCGAGCCGGTCCCCCACAGCCATACCTTGTTGGCACAGGCAAAGCCTGCCCCCAGCTCAGCCAGCAGCCGTATCACCCCCCCGCTGCTGTTGCACTTCACAGGGAAGTAGGGCTTCACACGGGGCAAAGCCTTCAGGAAGCGCAGGTGTTTCCTCACAATGTCCCCGAGGTCTGCCACGAAGAAGGCTTGCTGGTCACCCTACGACAAAGCTGAAGTGAGCAGCAGTTGCTGCTCCAAGGGGGGATGGACCAGAGCACGGCAGAGCTGCCCGCCCTTACCGCCTGGCACAGCTCCACCAGGCTGCTCTCCAGGAGGTCCCTGCTGGTGAAGCCCTCCTCCACCATCACGAAATTGGATTCATTCAGGTACCCGTTCATGGTCAAGGTGTGACAACACTAGCGTAAAGCCTCCTCGAGTAGGGCACGGCTCCTAAGTGTGCAACACGCTGGAAAAAAAGAAAGGAAATGTTAGAGGCAGAGCTCCGGGAAGGCCAGCAGTGTGCATGTCCCCAGCTGCTCCCCAAAGTACAGGGGTGCACGGGGAGCACTGCCTGAGGAGCCCTCTGCTGTTCTCCTCCAAAGCAGCACTCAGAGCACCGCTAGGGTTAAAGCGTGCTCTCCAGGGGGAGGAGGCACATTTCTCTGCAGTGCAGAGCTCTGTGTTTTTGTTCACAGCAGCTGTCTTTTTCAGCAGCAGTTCTGGCACCATGAACAACAAAGCCAACTTCACTGTAAAGCCAATGGTTTATATATCCCAGATTGCGTGTTTTTGTGCTCTGGCATGCAGTTAGACCTGCTGTATGTTTCAGGGGGAGAAGTTTCCTTCTGGTTTTCAAACTGCCAAAGTCTCAGAGCCACTTCTGGACACACAAGCCTCAAGAAAAGCAAAGCATTTCTAAAGAACAGCACTCCTAGATGTGGTCTGGATCCATGCTGTGCTTCCAGTTTCACTTCTCTCCCATGACACAGTGTGTGCAACAAGAGGACAGGCTAGGCAGCACAGTTGTGTTTCCTGGCTCACACAATTCGTGGAGCAGCTTTAGCAGCCTCTTTCCTTGGATCCAGCACATCCCATAACCCAGGGAGCTGCAGACCTAACACAAGCTCATAGGAAATGTTTCCACTCCAATAAGCCAGGTCTAGCCACAGGGCTTTTACAGGAAAATTGTCCCTCTGATCAGAAGTGAGCAGGAGACAAACATTTCATTTCTTAGAGCTGAACAGCACCTCCTCCTCTGCAGGAACCTACTTACAGCATTTCAGATAGGCACTGGGAGAAAAACCACACTGACCCCAGAGCAGCAGTGTGTTGTAACACATTGAGCAAGCACCAGCAGCAAAGCCCAGAGACGGGGAAAGGGCTGGGAGGCTCTAAGAGCTTTATACTCATAAAATGAGAGCAACTCCTCTGGCCTTACCCTTCACCCCCCAAAGGCATTACTGACCAATCTCGAAACTCAGTGCCTCCAGGCACTGCCCTCTGTTCCCCTCCTCCCTGCACCAGGCAAGCCAGCAGCCCCCGCAGCTCCCCCACGTTAGGAAGCATTTCAGCAGACTATGCCCATGAGGCTCCTGCAAGAACAAACTGTCCTCAGCTGCAGCAATTCATCCTGCCCCGGTGCCCTGCCTGCCCCTGCACCCAGACCAGCCAAGCCTGCAGAGGGGGAGCTCCTCAGCCTTCAAATCTCAGCACCCTCTCCTGCTCTGCCTCACAACCGTGGCCGTGGCAACCGAGCCCGGCCACGCCATTGGCTGATCCGCCTCCGAGCATCCTTCATCCCTTTCCCGGAGCACAGCAAGCACCATTCCCCCCCCGCCCACCCACCCCCATGGCTGGGGCTGCCCCCCGCAGACACCTGGGTTCTCACCGCGTCCCCGCTGCGCTGGTAGCTCATCCCCAGCCGGACAGCACAGAGCTGTGAGCCTGCCTGCAGCCCGGCCCTGCTCTGAGGATGCTTGTGGCTGCGCGTGCATCGCGTGCGCGGGGATCCTTGGGGGGAAGAGTGCCAAAAATACCTCTGAAGCACTGCTTCCAGGGCAACGAGGCTTTGTGCAGATAAAAGCTGAGCAGCGCCTGCCTGGTAGGGATGTTGGCCATGGGAGGTGGGCAGGGAGATGTCAGGGACTGACTCTGCCCTCTGCCGTGCTGCTGCCCGTGTTTCCCAGCAGCAGAGCCAGCCTTGCCAAACATGCAGATGCCCTGTGTCTGCCTTTGCCTGCAGTTGTGCACTTGGAAACGGCTCCATTGCTCCCTCCCACTCACACCACAGGCTGAGCGGATTTTTTTTTCTTCTTCTCGTTAATTTGCAATTCCTTCTCTCTGGTCACTGAGAAGACAACACTCAGAGCATGGAGGAGCAGCTGCCCCCATACAGGAGATGAAAGGGACCCGGAGACTTTTTTCTTGTATTCAGCACTGGCTCTGCCACGGTCTCTGCTGGCAGCCATGGGCAGGGAAGCTCTGTTCTTCAGCGAAACCCTGCCCTGTACCACCCTCAGTCGGGCACCAGGAGCAGCTGCAGTTATATACGTGCTGTACAGAGGCACTCCCTGCAGTGGGGCATTGAGTCCCTGCAAGTGCCGAAGCTTTTTGTGCCCACGACACCGGCAGCGCAGGAGCAGATCCAGAAGGACTCGGGGCAGAGCAATTCAAAGGACGGGGGCGAGTGAGCCGCGAGCCGGCTGTGTCACGGAGAGCTGCCAGGCTGCGGCCCAGCAGCGCGGGACCCGAGAGTTCCTCGCGGAGCTACTTTAGTCCCCGTGCAAGGAAAGCCTCACACGGCAGCTCACACCCAGCACGCCCCGCACGGCGGCGACCCCACGCAGGAAGCCCCGCAGCTTCCCCGCCCACGTGGCCCCGCCCACCGCCACCGCGGCCCCGCCCACCACCCCGCGTGGCCCCGCCCATCACTCACGTAACCCCGCCCACCGTGCGTGACCCCGCCCACCACGTGTCCGCGTGACCCCGCGGGGCGCAGTCGGTGGCGGCCATGGCTCCGAGCGCGCAGGCGGGGGGCGGCCGCGGGCAGGCGCCGGGCGCGGGGCTCCGCCGGGGAATCCGCGCGGTGCTGCTGGGGCCGCCCGGCGCCGGAAAGGGCACCCAGGTGAGGGGGCGGCCGGCTGAGCCCAGGCGCGGTGCGGCCTCCCCGGGCCCGGCTCCCCGGGCCTGTGCGTGGCGGCCCCGCGGGGGCACCGGGCGTGCGGGCCTTTGTCGCGGCCCCCGTCGGGATTCCCGGAGCCGCGCGTCCCGTCCCAGCCCGTCCCAGGCCGCTGCTGGAAGCGGGGGCGCGGTCTGGTCGGTGTGATTTTGGATCTGGGGCTGCCCGCCCCGGTGGGAGGCAAAATCGGAGCGGCCTCGTCCTCTCCCTGCCCCGATCCGCGCCAGGCGCTGCGCCGCCGGGCTGCCGCTGAAATCGCCGCGCTGGGCGCTCACCTTCTGTCTGTCCTTTCCTGCAGGCTCCGAAGCTGGCCGAGACGTACTGTGTCTGCCACCTGGCCACGGGGGACATGCTGCGGGCCATGGTGGCCTCGGGCTCCGAGCTGGGCAAGCGGCTCAAAGAGACGATGGATTCGGGGAAGCTGGTGGGTAGCAGCTGGGGGACAGACTGACAGCACTCTGTACCAGCAGCAGCCAAAATGCACCTCCTTGTCAGAAGCCACAGTGACAAAACCCAGTATGTGCAGGAAGGGCAGACTGTAGGGTGAAGGTGAGGTTCCCCTTATTACCCTGCAGGAGGAGCGTCCTATAAAAGCATCGTCCCCCATCACGCTTCTCCTTGCTTACCAGCAGCCTCTGTGTCCTCAGTTGTTCCTTTCTGTCGTGGAGCTTTTACACAGTTGCAGTGTCCCTTCACACGCCCTGACCACTGGGGGGTTGATGACTTTCTCCTTTCATCTGCATCCCAGATCTTCTGCTTGCCTGTAACTGTAACGTGAAAGTGGACTTAGGAATGTTGCTGTGGGAGTTACAGTGTAGCAGTGCAATGCTGTGCAAAAGACACCTGTGACCCAGGGTCAGGTTCTCCAGCATATTTCTGTTCTGGAGACCCGATTATCTTTCAAAATTACTGAGATCCCTTAAGGAAACCTGAGGGGCAACAAACCATGGTGACTTGCCCCACAGCTAAGCAGTGTGGGCAGATCTGGGGCATTGCGGCTTGCTGTCACTGGCTCATAACACCCCAAGGAGACTGCAGGCTCAGGAACGAGGTGGCACACATCCAGCTTTAGCTTAAAGCGTGCATTGCAACACTGAGTCTGGTTGTGAAAGATAGGGACCTTATCTGGTGAGTGCTGGTATCTGCCACATGTGTGAGGCTGCGGGTGCTGTGCTGCTGTGTCCTGGTGGGGTGCTCTGGCCGTCTGATAACTCAGCTGGGAGCACAGCAGCACTTGGAGCCGGGATGTTTTTTTTTTTAACACTCAATTACGCATTAATCCCTTCCCTGGAAGGGGTAATCAAGAAAGCACAGAAGTGCTGCTTTACCCAGGCTGCTCCCCACCCATGTGCTGCCTGGTCCGGTTTATGTGCAGTGACAGCCTGTTCCCGAATCCCGCTGGGTCTCAGCTGTACGTACTGGAGGAAGCAGCACCTGCAGATGATAAGGAGACTACTATTGGAACAGACACCCATTCTTGGGGCTGCAGCACCTGGTAGTACTTCTGAAATGCTGCAGCATAGAGAAGGCACTGATTCCAGAGACGTACTGAGGTGGTGATGTGGGAAGAGCTGCCCAGCAGGGCCAGAGTCTGACAGCAGCTATTTGGGCATTTACCTTCACACACGGTTTACAAGCATCAATGAACAACTCACGTGCTTTGCCCTTCCTGGCTGGGCCTGCTTACTCAGAGATGTGTGAGTGAAGGTACAAAGTAACAGGAAATAAAGGTTATGTTGGTATCAGTTGTTGTACTGAGAATTGGCTTAAAAAAAAAAAAAAAAAAAAGGCATCTATGGAATTTGTCTTAAGATTGATTGCCCATTTTGAAATGCAACAACCAACAACCTTTGCACCAGTGCTGTAACTTCACTGTTAAAAGTCCCTGCACAGGCTGGGGTGTCTGTGGTGTGGAATGCCTCATTAGCTCATCGGACACGTCGTAATGTTGACACCCAGGGAGCACCCAGGAAGTGGGCATGTCGGAGCGCGCAGCTTTCACCCTGCTACAGCAGGGACCTGTGCTTCTGCCTTCGGGACTGGGATCAGCTGTAAAAAGGCTCTGGTGCAGGCTGGGTGATGGCACAAGTACAGCTGCTCTATGGGCAGCTGTGTGTAAATCCCTGCTGCTGTTCCAACCATGCACCCATCTCTCCTCTTTGCAGGTGAGCGATGAGATGGTGGTGGAGCTGATTGAGAACAACCTCGACACCCCTCCCTGCAAGAACGGCTTCCTGCTGGACGGCTTCCCACGCACGGTGAAGCAGGCTGAAATGGTACGTGAGCTGCTGCTCAGGGAGCTCTTTTCTTCTGGGAGATGGGGAGCCCTTGGCTTGCATCTGCCTCTCTGAGTTGGGTGTTTACTTTTGCAGCTGGATGAGCTCCTGGAGAAGAGGAGAGAGAAACTGGACTCTGTCATTGAGTTCAGCATCCCTGACTCCTTGCTCATACGGAGAATCACCGGACGGTAACTCTTCTCTCCCAGAAGCTCTGGGGGCTCCAAGTTCATGGGAGAGTGTCCTTGTTTGGGATCATTTTAGTCATTGTCACAGCACTGAGACCAGCCCTGCAGTTAGCCCTGTATTAGATATCTGCTCTGTTTGAGCCTTCCATGCCTGGGCCAATGTGTATCAGCCTTTTGCTGATGTGAATCAATGACCTTGGTGACCCAGCTTGGCCCTTAAGCCTGCAGTATGACAGCTAATATCTGTGCTTCTCTGGTGCTATTACTTCTCCCTTATGCAAGCTGTTTGGGCACTGCTGAACCTCCTTTTCAGGATCAGTCATGGCTGTGCAGAGATGCAGATGTCTCCTGCTGTTTGCTCTGGCACTGTCACCTTTGTGCTCCCCTTCTCCATTTCCTAGTGCAACTTTATTCCAAGCACTTGAAGAGGCTGTTGGAACCAAAATAGCTAGAAAACATTCTCCTAATAGAGAGAAGCTAAGTGTATTGCTACTGTGGGTTTTTCTGTGCTGATGAATGGCAGGTTCAGGAGACCTCATCCTGGCACAGGACCCCTTTGCTGACACTTGCTTTCTGTCTTAGGCTGATTCACCCAGCAAGTGGCCGTTCTTATCATGAGGAATTCAGACCCCCGAAAGAACACATGAAGGATGATGTATGTGAGCTCTGAGGCCACAGCTTACACTGCTTTGGGTTTAGCTGGTGCTTTGCAACATCTCTGGAAAAAACTTGTTTCCTTTTCTCCCACCTTCTGTCCCACTTTTCTGGGGAGTGTGGGGAACTGCCTGGGCAGCCGAGGCCAACAGTACTGCAGGGAGCAAGGCCTGGAGGGATGAGTGAAGGGTATGGCTGTTCTGGGGAGCCTGGGCTCTGCCGTGTCACAACTTGGTGGCCTCTGTCCATAGCTGAAGTTGCAATGGGTCCCAACTGCTTTCCTTCCTGGGGAGCAACTCTAGCCGGCGTTTGGTCTTGGGGCTCCTTTTAGCAAGCAGAATGGCGTGTGAGGGAAAGACCATCGTGCTGATTCCTTTTCTTCAGTGACGGCTCTGGGACCTGGTTTGGCTGCCCTGGGTTTGCACCGCTCTCCCGTGCTGACCTGGGGACTCACCTCTGCAGTGCTGCGTTGTGGCCCACCTTGGAGGAGGGGAGCAGGGGTTGTAGCTGCTCAGAGAAGGGGGCCGTGCACCAGGCTGCAGCTAGCTGGAGACCTGTCCCCTTGCTTCTCCCAGGTCACTGGAGAGCCCCTGATCCGCCGTTCAGATGATAATGAAACAGCCTTGAAAACCCGCCTGAAGGCCTACCACACACAGACCTCCCCCCTGGTCTCCTACTACAGCAAGCGAGGGATCCATACAGCCGTGGATGCCTCCCAGTCTCCTGACGTGGTGTTTGCCAGCATCCTGGCAGCCTTCTCGAGAGCGACATGTAAAGATCTGGTTATGTTCATTTAGGGCTCCGTCCCTGGATGGAGCTCAGCCTTGTCTGTCTTTCTCCATCTCTGTCTCTCTTTCTGTCTCTCTCTGTCTCTCTGGGGCCAGGGAGAGTGAAGAGCTAAACAGAGTAGATGAGGAGGGGATGATGCAGCCCGAGGCAGGACTTTGCTAATTCTCTATTAAACAAGCCGTTAACGGTTTCCATCTCAGTGTATGTGAACGTCGGTCTGTCCGCAGATGTGGGCGATTCGGCCCCTAGAGGTCGCAGTGCGCCTGAGCACCAGCTGTCAGAACTGAGCTCTGCACCCTTTGGGTCCGAGGGCTTTGGTTTCGTTCTAGAGCTGCAGCTCCCCAGGAGAAGCAGCTGTACTTCCAGCTATTCCTGGCTGCTCTCCAGAGGATGAGCAGCTGTGGGAGGCAGAGCCTGGCTGTGTGTGCAGCCTGCTGCTGCTCAGGGCTGGGTGAAGACTTGTTTCCATTGAGCGCGTGTTACCCTGTGGGACAGCAGGTTCCCAAGAGCACAGTTTTCTCTCCGTTCTGATGCTGTTTGTGGCATAAAAGTAGGGTGAATGACAATGGGGGTTTTCAGTTTCTCATTTGTGGACTCAAAACTTTTTCCAGTTCAGGTGTGGTGAGGTGTGGGCTCCACTATAGCAAATATTAGTGAGAAGTTTTTTTTAAAAAAAACAAAACAGCAAAGAACGTGAAGTCTCCGGTCAGACTGCAGTCACTGCAGTGATTTGATCTCTGGAGGACAAGAAAAGGACTTGGATGTCAGTTCTATTCTTGCATCCTTCCCTTGGCTTTGGCCAAAGAGATGAAGGTGTGTTGAGTTTCCCCTGATCCCAATGTCTAAATAAAGCCTTATTGCAAAACATGATTTTTCAAAGCCCAGGGGACAGAGTTATTAACTGCTGGCCTCTCATGCCCTTCAGACAATGACCATTTTTATGAGCTCGTGGAAATATACTTGTTTCTTGAGCAAGTCAAACAGCTTGTCCTGGCTGTCCATTTGTGGCCAGTGCTTGGACATTTCAGTGCCATTACGCCACCACATACAACCCTGCAGGGCTGGTGACAACCTTTGTCCATGCGTGCTGTCAGCCCTGCCTAGAAGATCTCATTGAAAATGCAGACTGGCCCAGATAAAACTTTGTCCTTTGGCCTTACATGTATGTTTACTGATTTAATGTTCCTGAGTCCTCTCTTTCAAGGAAGATGGCACATCTCCCCCGCCTCCCCTGTGGTGGGCTGTGTCCAGAACAGGTGTTCAGTCCTCTGAAATCCCTTGCAGTTTTTCTTGATAATTACTCTTTTGTCTGAAAATGACTCTGTCCTCATACGTTCGTTCCAGGAAAATGGCCCTCTTCCTCTTCAGCAAACTGGAAATAATGCTAGAAACTGAAAGCAGTTGAGTTCTTGCTCCTGAAAGCGTGAGTGTGCAGAGAGGGGATTTGAAAGTAACCAAGGGTGCTGGTTTCATCAGCTGCCCGAGTTTCCCCGGGTGGCTGTTACCTCTACACCTGTGCTCCCTCATGAAAAGGCATCAGTGTGCAGGAAGGTGGGGTGAGCACTCGGCGCAGGATTGCTGTGCTCTGGGGCAGTGGAAAAGATGTGTTAGAGCTGCCTCTGCCTCTCAGTGATGTAAAGAAGCTGACTGGAAGCAGCTTTTATCTTGGCTTCTTGAGAGAATCAAAGAAAGACCCACAGTACCCTAATGCTGTCATGATGCAGGGTTCCTGGCCAGCTGGCATTCCTGAATCTGGTTGAGGTTTCCACAGCAAGAACTACGTGCTCTTCCACTCTCCATTTCTTTTTCTCCCTTGTGTTTGCTTTGCATCCAACTCAACAGCCTTTTATGCCATAAACCATTTTGTTTTTTTCCCTAAATGTATTTTTTTCTTTGTTCCCATTTGTTCCAGCTGAGTGACTCCGTGAACCAGATGAGACACCACCAAACGCTGCACACTGCTACGTCAGCCACTGCAGCCTTCCCCTGGTGCAGGGGGGGCAGGGAGGGCAGCTGGGAGGGGGGTTACGATAGATGGGAAGAAAAAAGGAGGTGGTAAACAAGGGGATTAGGGGTTGGCTTGGTTGTTTTTTGTTTGTATTTCTTATTCAGCAGAATCATTCTGAAGAGGAGGTGGCCTTCTCCTTAGAAATCAGTGTTTAGGAAGGCAAAACTATTGCTAAGAAGCATCTTTACCAGTGAGCAGACCCAGGTCACTGACACATAGCAGGGTAGGGCTGGGTACCATTCCAGGCTTCTCCAGGGCTTTCAGGACTCATCTCGCCGGCTCTTAGAAGCTGGAGGCTATCGAAGGTTTGCTGTGATTTCTAAAGCTGCTTCCTGTCAGCGAGGACCAAAATGAACAACTGACTTTTCTGAAGTAGAAAAAGAGGAGGGGAAAAAAAAAAAAAAGAAAAAAAAAAAAAGGATGCTGTGATGTTTTCCTGAAAGTTTTGATTTTCCTGTTCTGCTGCATTCCTCCACCCAGCATAGACTTCTCCAGGTTCTGCTGCTGCTGAGCTGAGGGGCTGCGGTGCTAGTCCAAACCTGCCTTCCTTGGCAATCAGGTGGCTTTTCTGTGATCTTGACCAAGCTGGAATTCACATAATGCTGAAGAAATGCAAAAGAATCTTTCTTAATTGACTGCACAAATAACACTTAATTGGTTTTTTTGCATTTCTTTCTAGATCAAATGGTGCCTTGTCTAACCTCTGAATCAATAATAAAATAACCCCTTTACATTTTGTATCTGTTGCTGTGTCCTTTTTGACTTGCAGACAGTGGAAGAAGGGAAGCAGATGACTACTAACAGTTGAGGGGGGGTGGATCCTCTGGCCTGATCCTATCTCAAGGACGTTTCTGTGCAGCTAAAAGCGTGGCTTCTAATTCCTTTTGCATTCTCTAATGAGCGTGTTTCAATGCTTTATATCACCATAGCAATGCTGTCTCTTGCTGACTTTGTGTCTCTTGTTTCTTCATGCATGGTGCTAAAAGCACAGCCCCTGTGTATTCTGACCATTTGTGGTCAGAGCTCCTTTCAGGTATTTTTACAACTGATGTCATACCCAGCCTTTCCTCCCTCTTCCTTTCTAATTGCCAGTGGGGGGAGGAGTTGACATGATTTCCTCTCTTGCAATAACTGCAAGCTAAATACTCTCTTCTGTTTCTTCTTGTGCCTTTCATTCCTTGCTGCACGCCTCCCTCCTGACCAGTGTCTGTCAAAATACACAGGACGAAATCTGCTGTAATGAAGGGTCTGGAGGCATTTCCTGGTCTCCTGTTATCCTGCCCCAACAGCATCTCAGGCCCTGCCAGGGGTTCTCAGGAATCCCAGAGGAATGTTGTGCAGATGAGAAGTCATTGTTTTTTCCAGTGCCTTTGGTACCAGGCGGCAGCTGCTTGCAGCTGAGGCTTTGATTCAGGCTGTGTGGACAGACATCACAGAGGGTCAGGCTGCCCATGCCTACTTTCTCCAGAAAGGACTGGTTTTTCAGCATAATTGGGTGCCCTTGCTCCTCAGCCATGCAGTCTCTCTGTGCTCTGATGGTTTTATTACCTTTCTGTACTTCTGATCAGCATTATCCATCTTCTGAAGGCAAGCTTGTTTCTTCTACATTTGTGGTGTTCTTTCCTTACTTCTTTTGATGATGGATGTTAAATTATGCTCTTCCTCATTGTTTGGGAGTCTGTCCTTTTGCTGCCTGCCTACTGTTGTTTTCAGAACCTGTTCTGCCTGCTCCTCCTGGATTTCCAGTGTGTGGGATGGCAGCTCTTGGCTCTCTGAGCTGGGCTTCTTCCAGTTGATCACCAGCTTACCCAAATGCAGAGCACAAAATGAATTGTTGGGGTGCTGTGAGGAGGTTGTTTAGCTCAAGTGAGCCTCTGTCCCCTGTAGTTGGATCTGTTCTGTGACCCGTCTCCGTCACCGTGACCTTGAATGTTTTCCATGGCATGTGATGCTCTGCAGGTGCTGTAAATTCCTTCTGTTCAACGATTTCACTCCAGCAAGCTGCTTATCAGGCACTCTTTTGAAAACTGTGTTCATATTTCATTTAGAAAATTATTCAGCAGCTATAAAAGGGGAAAATTCCTATTTATAGCACAAGAACTAGCATCAAATAGGACACTGAATTCTCGCTGATAGAGGAAGTGACCTGTTCTCTAATGCAGCAATACTTCTGCTGAAAAGAAACAGCATCTCGGATGGGGGGAAGGGATCAAAAAGCCTTGGGCCATTTCTTTCCATTAAAGATGTGCCGCAGACCTAAAAATGTAGTATCTGGCCTTCTCCCTTCCTGCTGAAGCCATCTGTGAATGATACTGCAGAAAACCCTTTCACTGTGGATTTGTGGTTAGCAGTAATGAGTCTGATGGCTCCTGATGGTCTGTTCTGGAGTCGGCCTTGGGTTTCTGATCGATATCTGCTCTCCGACCTCGACCTGGGAGCAAAGGCACCTCGACCTGGGAGCAAAGGCACGTCCCTGCAAAGAGTGTGCTGTGCACGAGTAGCACACATCCCTGGCTTGGGTAGAGCTCGCGTGAGGGGTGAGCATTCAGTTGTACGGCCCCAGGACAGAAAGAGCACGTGGGACTGAGAACAAAGAACTGGGATGCAGGGGGAGGTGGGAAGAGCACAGTGCCTCATGGAGCATGCATGGTACAGCTGTGGAGGTGATGTGTTTCATCCGAGCCTGCCACCCTGACTGCAACTCTGCTCTGCTTTCCCTTCCCCTGGGATGCTGATGCTCCCCCCGGGGCCGTGCTGCTGCTGCTGGCCTCCGCCTGCTGCTGTTCCCTGCCGGCTCCTCTTATCCTTCCTATGGTCTTCAGGTTCCTTAGCAAGAGCTGCAGTGGGTGATACCAAGCGAGGCCCTGAGAGGTGGAGGACCAGAGGATGGGATTCCCCTCGTGTTGCTGTGGAAACCGTTGGAAGGGAAGCAGCAAAGCCGGGGCTGGCAGGGAGCGCTGGGCGGTGTGCGGAGGCAGGGCTGTGCTGACATCACGGGGGGAGGCGGCGTGGGGAAGGGAGAGCAAGGGAGGCTGCGGAGGGAAGCGAGCTGCTCCGGGTGGGCTCCGGGCAAGGTAAGAGACCCCAGGGGAACGGGGGAGGGCGGTTCTACGAGCGGCTGCAGGCTCAGAACCTGCCTTGGCATCCTTCTGGCTAGCGTGCTGATGTGGGGGGTGTTCCTGGGCAGCAGCAGCGTTATACAATGCTCGGAACACCTGGCACAGCAGGGCTGGGCTCTCAGGGACCCGGTCAGAGCCTGGATGCCTGATGCAAAGCTGCAAACGCGTCCCCCCCAGGATATCAGTGTGTGTCACTCACTGCTGGGAACCTCCAGGACTGTGCAGCAGCCCCAGTCCCTCTGGAGAAGGGGACCAGAGTTCCCTCTTTGGATAAGAGTACGAAGAAACGAATCAGAAGTTTGGAGACCCAGTCTCCCTGAGCTACATCAAGCTAATAGGAAGCTTTTGTGCATTGGAGCTGAGCCCAGCAGTGTGCATTTGGGATGGGTATCCTACGCTACGCGTCTCAAGCAGTCACAAGACTTAGCCAGGCTGTGCAGGAAGCAGTCATTCTGGGGAAGGCAGCCTGGTACAAATGTATTGCTGGGAGTTCTCTGGATGTGGATCCTGGGAATCTGCAGACCTTGGAGGCAAAAAACAAAGCCCTTGAAATGTTTTGCATGTCACGTTGTCTTTTAGTGTAACAGTTGCAAAAGGGGACCCAATTTGTTAGCAGAGGGAACAAGGGGTGATGGCCACCTCTGTGCCCTGCAGCAGCCTAATGGACCCTGTGTACTCAGCTGGCCAGGGGGAATTTCATCTCTTTCTACTCCAAAAGCATGGCTTGTTCATTAATGCCCAGAACAGCTGGTGGTGTAACAGCTCTGATGCCGTGGCAGAGGGGTGTATGGACTTCACAGCAACAAAAAGGATGGGCTGGGCACACCTTTGCCCATTAAGACCCACAGTGTGTATCCAACTAAGCAAAGAACTTCTAGGGTTAAAGCCCATTGCTAGCAAGCCCTGCAGGTATCACAACTATTACTGGGGAGGAGAGGGAAGAGAAGAGGCACAGAACAGAACTTCAAGTGGAGCTGAAGAAACTTTTTTTTTTTTTTTTTTTAACATGAAAAAACAGGGAGGAGCCAATGCCTCTGTCACAACCATTTTGTTGAAAAAAGTTTCATGTTTCCTATGTTTGTGGAGTCACAACATGTCATTTAAGGAGCTGGGGAGAGCAGTGGGGCCATGGGGAAATGCAGTCAGGAATGCTCAAGCATACATAAGAAAGCAGAATTGTAAAAAGGAGCACAAATATGCCTTAATTAGGGAAAGCTATTGCTGCAAGATGCATGATCTTCCCCCACACAGATGCTGGGTCTATATGGAGCATTTGGGAGTGGCCCAAGTTGGCCATACTGCTGCTTATTTTATGGTAACTCTGCAAAAAGCAACAGCTTGTGCTGCTGTGTGGGACTTCTGCAGCAGTGCTGTGCTGGAGGCCCCCACACAGAGGCTTTTAGCAGAGGGCAGGCTGAGGAGAGCTGGCAGGGCTGTCACCCAGGTGGTGCACAGTCAGCTGTGCTGCGTACCTCTGACGTGGGCGAGGAGGGAGGGAGAGGCAGAGGCTCTGGCAGCAGCTCCTGCCAGCTTCCAGAGCTGCATGCAGCAGCTGGGTGGGAAGGAGCCGGCTGTGAGCGGCCCCAGGAGCTCCCAAAGGAGACTCTGCCTGTCCTGGCTGCAGCTTGGGAAGGGTTAACTCTGCTTTTCTGCAGTTCCAGTCCCTGAGGTTGCTGCTGGCCATGCAGAACTACAAACACAGCTAGGGCTGCTTCTAGGTTGATTTTTTCAAGGATATTCAAAACGTAGTGGTGGAACAGCACCAGAGCCGCCTCCAAG